TTCAAAAATCAGGTTTTATTTAATAATTTAAAAATATTTTTTATTTTTATTTTTATATCTATATACAATAAAAGGAAATTGACCCCTACCAAACCCTAATCATTTCAACCACTTCTTCCCCTCCACCCTCTCTCCTCCCACCGCCCGCCACCCCCTCCACTCTCATCCTCCTCCCGTCTCTTTGCTCTACGCCGCCGTCGCCACAGTCACAGTCGTCAACTTTTTCCTCTCCTCCTCTCTACAACCCTCCCTCTCTCTTATCTCCATAGTTGCTGCCGGCCAAGATCAGTCGCCTCTCTTTGCGTAGCAGTTCGCGACCGCGACGTCGCTGCAGCTTCAGTTTGCAACAGCGATCTCACAGTAGCGGCGTCGCGACGCTGCTGCAATTTGTAGCAGCATCGCGACGCCGCCGTTAGACGCCGTGCAGTTCACGAACGGTAGTGGTTATTGTGGTTTTTGATAGTTTTTGTCATAGATCCATTGTATTTTTGTGATTTTTGATGGTTTTTGTGCACAGATCTGGCAGCGGTGGTGTTGATAGCCATCCGGTGGTGACGGTGGTGTTTTTGTGTTGTTGGATGCGACGGTGGTGGTAGTGTTTTTGTGTGGTGGTAGTGATGTTTTGTGTGGAGTGTTGGTTGTTGAGACGGTGTGTTGGTACTGGTTGTCGTGAGGTGGTGGCAGTTTTGTGGCGGTGGCGGCGACGGTATTGGTTATTATTGGTGGTATGTGACCAAGTATTTGGTTATCTGTGACCAAAAAATTATTAATTGTGACCTAAAAATTATTAATTGTGATTAATAAATTGATAAATTGTGACCTAAATAAGTATTGTGACTTATAAACAATTTGTGACCAATGAATTCGATAAACTGTGAAGAGTACAAACTGTGTGATTTAAAAATTATTAATTTGTGACCTAAAAATTATTAATTTGTGACCAATAAATTGATTTTTGTGACCATAAAATATGTAACGTAACTTTTAAATTTTGTAATTGTGACCGATGAACAAATTGTGACTTTTAAATTTTTAAGTTGTGACTGATGAACAAATTGTGACCTATGAAAATTTTGAATTGTGACCTAAAAAGTGGCGGAACAGTGATCGGAATACTCGTTGGAATCAGAGCAGTCGTCGAAACGGTAGCTGGAGAAGAGTGGTGATCGGAAAGTCGGTTGTGGTGGTGGAGGTGAGGTGGGGTGGGGTGGGGTGGGGTGGGTGGGGTAATTATATTATATTACAGTTAAAAATTTAATTTAATATAATAATTGTGAAATATAATTAATTAATTCATGAAAAACCTGATTTTTGCAAGTCTAAACCTTGGGCCTGATTTTTTATTTTGGTATAGATAAAGCCTGAGTTATGAATTTTTCCCTTAAAACTCTCCCACGTCATGGCCTTACTAATCAAATTAAAGTCCATAAGACGATATGGTCGCTCGGTCAATTTATTTTATTTGGGCTAAATATTTAAGTATTGTAGGAGAAGGAAAAAAAATTATATCAATATTGAGCTCATTTTATAGCTTGCATTAAATAACATTGTTGGGCTCAAGAAAATGTATGTTCGTATAAGTCAAGCCCAAGTTATGTCAATTCAAATAAAATGTATTTAACATGTTTTATTTTATTTTTCTAATAATTTTATTTTTAAGGTAATTAACAAAAGAAGATAATATTTTATTTATATAATCACGTTTATCTTTAATTTGAAAGAGGATTTTAATCATACTAGCTATGGCCGTGTAATGCACGGACTTTGTTATTTTGAA